AGATGTATATACATTATACATTATATTATATATAATGGACAATTCCATTTAGAGAAGCAGAGGAAATATATCAGGTTACCAAATGCTCTTTTTTGATAAAGGAAGCAACTACAAAAGCTTTATTTATTCACAGTAACTAGTGCTATAGATGCAAAACAAACAAAACCCAACAACTCCCTCAAATACTACTTTCAAAACCGACATATTAAACTTGATTTTCATTAGAATGTTTTTTTCCACACTGGTAAATCAAAGCCAAGACATATATATATATATATATATATATATATATGTATATATATATGATGTAAGTTATTGAGCTTCATCTTCTGGACAAGAATGCCAAGTTAGTCTCTCTTCATAAAAAGCAATTATGATTTGAGAACATTTCATATTTTCCTTTTTTGCCAGCACCAAGTCAACCTCGTCTGAATCTTTCCATTTCATGAGAAACATCATTTCTCCACTACTATCTGTGTTGCCGATTATTCTTTCAGGATCAAGACCTCTAGCAAAACCTCTAGGTTTGTCAGCAGCATCTCTTTTTTTTTTTTTCTTTGACTTGCTGTCATCAGATTGATTGTCAGATAAAGATTTTCTTTTTGTATCTTTTTTTGTTTGTTTGTTTTTATATTTTAGGGAAGGGTTTACAGGGTGTTCAGGGTCTCACTACTAGATCAGACTCGTAGTGATCTGCTTGTTTACAGCCTCCCAAGAGCTGGGATTACAGGCGTGCGCAACCACACCTTCTCAGTTGCCCTCTTAGAACACCCTGGGGGCCAGGGCCGGCACAACAGGCCCAGGGATCGAACCTGCGGCCCCTGCACCTGCTTGCAGGTGCTTTAATCCTATACCATGTTTTTCTTTACCAGCTGTTTGCAAATTAAGAAATGTTTCATTGAACTCTGGGCAATCTGTCATTTCTTCAGGTTCCCATGTATTGTCAGCATCTGTGAATCCCGTCCACTTCAGAAAATACTCCACCTTCCCATTCATTACACATCAGTCCAGTACTTTTTCTACTGCAAACTCTTCAGGTTCTGTTTCCTCAACTTTTTCACTTTTTCCATTTTGTTTCTTTCCCATTTTTTGCAGTGTAGTTTTATTGGAGGCCATTTTTTACTGCAGACTTGAAGAGCTATTATTCACTGCCTTGGATACTCATTTGTGGGTCTGCAGTCTTGGCCTGCAAGCCTGCAGCTCCACTCACACCCGAGCACAGCTGGACTTTTTTTTTTTTTTTAAAGATCCCTATGGTTGTTTGAGAAAAGAGGACTGGAGACTCCACCCTTGCACTAGTGGAAGTGGTGAATTCAGTTAGGAGACCACTGTGGAAGCTTCCTCTGGGCTGTGATGGTGGTGGTAGAGATGGAGAGAACTGGCAGGGGTTAGCACCTGACTGGACATGGGACAGGAGGAAGAGAAAAGGCTGCAGGTTAACATCTGTTTTCTAGCGTGGGTAACTGGCTACATGAAGGTGCTATTTTCAGAGACAGGAAAGGAGCAAATAGGGAAGATGGATTTGGACCCTTGGGGTGTGGTACAAATGTAAATCAGCATCTCTCTATCACTATAGGTGCTGTACCTGATTGTAATGGGGAAATACACAGGATTCTTTGGAAATCTGCAGCACAATTATTTATTTTCATGTTTACTTGATCTGAAACTCACATTTGAACTCACATTTTTCATGATTTGAGTCCACCTGGTGGGGCTGCATTTTATCCCCCCAACCCTCTGGTTTTGAAAGAAAGTTATTTGGGAGACATTTGTGTGTTGTATTAATAACAATTTTCCATCACTTGGAGATTTGCATATGTGGCTTTAGAATTTATGGGGTTGATTGACCCTTATCTTCCTGTGCCTGGATGCCTAACCTGCTCATAAGCACGTGTACCAAAGGTGAAGAGCTGCTATGCATGGGTCTTTGGCATTCCTTAGGTTAGCCACAGTACAGGTAAGTGTACACTGCGAGTCAACAAGAACTCTCAGAATTACAGCTTGCCTCTACAAGTCATATTTGGGGAAGGAGTTCTTACTGAAGAGACTTCAGTTATCCCTTTAGTGAGGTATTCTATTTTGGGGCACCAATCTTTGAAAATTCAATTCAGTATGTACTTTTGAAAACCTATGTTATGCAAGGCTGTTGAGTTTATAGTGACAACAAGGTAAGGAAGACCAAAACCTCTAGGAGCAGCATCAGTGAGGACAAGACTCTGGTGACAGGAATCCTATTTGTAAATTGATTCCAGGTAGCCAAGGGGCTGGAAGATGGGACTAGAAGGGTATCTCAGGTTTCTATCACCAGTGTTCCCATCTATTTCAATCCATTCTTCAGCCGAGTCTCCACCAGATGGTTTTGAGGACAGAGCAGCTATTTGTGCCTCCCATTGACATCTATTTTTCCAAGTGAGAGACTGCCCCATATGTTAGTGCAATATGGCACTCAGGGTGAAGCATCCATTTGTGTCAGTGGGATCCTGCGACTTGCTGCCGCCCTTCCTCATGCCTTTTCCTGCCTCTCTGGTCTTTTCTAGGTCTCTGGCCTGTCAGGAGGACCATTGGTGCTGTGGTGGAAGCCAGCGTCTAAGTCTTGTGTATGGCGTGGTTAAGGTTGCAGCCTCTCACCTCTGCCTTCCTGCATTTTGGGCTGGTTACTTTTGTGCTCTTCCTGAATGGTCTTCGGGCCGAGGCTGGCAGCTCAAGGGACGTGCCCAGTACGGGGCAGAACAATGAGTCCTGCTCAGGGTCCACAGATTGCAAAGAGGGTGTCATCCTACCAATCTGGTATCCAGAGAACCCTTCCCTTGGGGACAAGATTGCCAGGGTCATTGTCTATTTTGTGGCCCTGATATACATGTTCCTTGGAGTGTCCATCATTGCTGACCGCTTCATGGCGTCCATTGAAGTCATCACCTCTCAGGAGAGGGAGGTGACTATCAAAAAGCCTAATGGAGAGACCAGCACGACGACAATTCGAGTCTGGAATGAAACGGTCTCCAACTTGACCCTGATGGCCCTGGGCTCCTCTGCACCTGAGATTCTCCTTTCCTTAATTGAGGTATGTGGTCATGGGTTTATTGCTGGCGACTTGGGGCCCTCTACCATCGTAGGCAGTGCAGCCTTCAACATGTTCATCATCATTGGCCTCTGTATCTATGTGATCCCCGATGGAGAGACACGCAAGATCAAGCACCTACGGGTTTTCTTTGTCACTGCTGCATGGAGCATCTTTGCCTACATCTGGCTCTATATGATCCTGGCTGTCTTCTCTCCTGGTGTGGTCCAGGTCTGGGAAGGCCTCCTCACCCTCTTCTTCTTTCCGGTATGTGTCCTCTTGGCCTGGATGGCAGATAAACGACTGCTCTTCTACAAATACATGCACAAAAAGTACCGCACAGATAAACATCGGGGAATTATCATAGAGACGGAGGGCGAGCACCCAAAGGGGATTGAGATGGATGGGAAAATGATGAATTCCCACTTCCTAGATGGGAATCTGGTGCCCTTGGAAGGGAAGGAGGTGGATGAGTCCCGTAGGGAGATGATCCGGATTCTTAAGGACCTGAAACAGAAACACCCAGAGAAGGACTTAGACCAGCTGGTGGAGATGGCCAACTACTATGCTCTTTCCCACCAACAGAAGAGCCGGGCCTTCTACCGAATCCAAGCTACTCGTATGATGACTGGTGCAGGCAACATCCTGAAGAAGCACGCAGCAGAGCAAGCCAAGAAAACCTCCAGCCTGAGTGAGGTGCACACAGAGGAGCCTGAGGACTTCATCTCCAAGGTCTCCTTTGACCCATGTTCTTACCAGTGCCTGGAGAACTGTGGGGCTGTCCTCCTGACAGTGGTGAGGCGGGGCGGAGACATGTCCAAGGCTGTGTATGTGGACTACAAGACAGAGGATGGCTCTGCCAATGCAGGAGCTGACTATGAGTTCACAGAGGGCACTGTGGTCCTGAAGCCAGGAGAGACCCACAAGGAGCTCTCTGTGGGCATCATTGATGATGACATTTTTGAGGAGGATGAGCACTTCTTTGTACGGCTAAGCAATGTCCGTATGGAAGAGGAGCAGCCAGAGGAGGGGATGCCACCTATACTCAACAATCTTCCCTTGCCCCGGGCTGTCCTGGTGCCACCATGTTTGGCCACAGTTACTATCTTGGATGATGACCATGCAGGCATCTTCACTTTTGAATGTGATACCATCCGGGTCAGTGAAAGCATTGGCATTATGGAGGTCAAGGTTCTGCGGACATCAGGTGCCAGGGGCACAGTCATTGTCCCTTTTAGGACAGTAGAAGGGACAGCCAAGGGTGGTGGTGAGGATTTTGAAGACACATATGGGGAGTTGGAATTCAAGAACGATGAAACAGTGTAAGTAACCTTTCAGTAGTCTAGCCCGCCCCGCCCCATTCCATGTCATCCTTTTCTGTCCTCTATAAGCCTGTTCCTTGCTATTATGTTAATGTCAAATTTTGGTTCCACCACAGGTATGCAGGATCAGCAGCCACTGGGCAGGTCGCACCTCCATGCTCTCCTTCAGTTGTCTCACTTTCAGTTGCTTCCAGGCAAAGAATTCTATGGCAGGCTCTAAGGACACAGAGCATTTTGTCCATCACAACTTAAAAGGATGATTGGTAGAGGTCTAGGATGATAGAGGTTTTATAATATGAGATTTGGAGAAATTCTTGGGACTAAGCAAGAGCTAGGAAACTGATCGGGCCTCTCCCTCCTCCCCTTTTCATACCAAAGGATTAAGAGTTTTGAAGTCAACTCCTCCAATTCCAGGATAGTAATAACCCAGCCAGGATATCTGTGTCATGAAAGCAAGTGGCAAGGTGGTGGGACAAACCTGTAATCTCAGTACTTGGTAAACTGAGGCAGGAGAGTCAAGGAGTACAAGGCCAGCCTGAACTGCATAATGAGACCCTATTTCAAAAAAACCACAAAGAACAAACGAATGAATGAATGTATGTAAGCAAGTGGCACTGGCACCTTCCCTACTACAGTTGTATTGGGTAGCAGAATTTGGGGATCATTTCTGCAATTTGGAAATTGAAAAACTGATTGAAAGTTGTCTCTGAATATCCACAGGCTGTTTTATGGAGTAAAGCACAGCCAGCTTAGGTGACATAAGTCAGTGCGACTTGGGTACTGGTGGTGTCCTGGAGAAGTCAAGCTCCCAAGGGGCACAGCCACCTGTCTGTAATCTCAGGTCTAAGCTCCAAAATCTGTGAAAAAGGAGACTATTAAGAATTATTGGAGAAAATACATCTTTGTGTGGTCATCTCTTTTTATAGTCTAGGACTTGCCTGACACACTTCTCGAATTATTGCCCCTCTCAGAACTACCAGTCCTGTACTTCCATTGTCTGTATCACCCTAAGGCCTCTCCCCATCGAGACAGGCACAGACTGGGAACCTGTCCTATTCTCAGATGAATAACTTTGAAAGAGAAATCTGAATGGCTTTCCCCAGAATTTACAGCGGAGGGCAGGGTGGCTTTGAAGGATGGAAATGAGAAGTGGGATCCTGTCTCTGAATTCCTGCTCCTGTCCATGCAATAAGCAGTAACAGGAGATGGCAGGAAGAATAAAAGGGGGTGTCAAACCACTCTAAGACCCTGCTAATTATACAAAGGCTGATCAAATCATAGTGTGCATTCAAATAAAAAATATTACAGTCAAGACGTATTCGTCGCCTTCACACCTGCCCCACGGCAAACACACTTCCTGAGGTGTTCTTGCCACTTTTCCAAACAGTTCTGGAAGCCCTCTTACAGAAGAGTATCTTTATGAGATGTAATAAAAAATATAGTGGATGCTGCTACTGCCTGACATGCAACAGAAAAGTGGCTCATCAAGACACTGTGATGCGTTCTCAGCTACCTTATTTCCTGGACCTGACACCATGCAACTTCTTGGTCTTCCCTAAAGTCAAAATGACCATGAAGGGTAAATATTTTGAATTGATTCAGGACTTGAGGCAGCCACAGTAGCACAGCTAAAGACACTCATAAATGAGAACTACCAGAATGGTTTTAGAAAGTGGCAAGAACAATGGAAGAAATGTGCTTGAAGTGACAGGGAGTATTTGGGGAGGAATTAATAGCAGTGTGTCTTTTACTATAAGGAAACTTTTTAAAAAGTTTTAAACATTCAGGATATTTTCAGATTACACCTTGTACTTTCTGTAGGAAATGAAATGATACAGTACCAGTAAAAGGGAGGGAAGGAACTCACAGGAAAGGGTGACCCATAGACTCCGGGGGGAAGCTGTTATTGAAGTAGTTTTTCCCAGGTTAAGACACGAGACAGAGGGCTGGCCAAATAGCTCAGCGAATTAAAATGCCTGCAAGCAGGTGCAGGGGCCAGGGAGTTTCATCCCCGCACTTGTAGTGCAGGCCCCGCCCCAGGGCACGCTGAAACAGCAATTCAGACTGGGTGTGGTGGTGTGTGCCTGTAATCCCAGCTCTTGGGAGGGCTGTAAACAGGTGGATCACAATGAGTCCGATCTAGCAGTGAGACCCTGAGCACCCTGTGGACCCTTTGGTAAGATTTAAAACAAAAAAAAAAAAAAAGAAATTTTAAAAAGGCTGGGAATGGAGGTTAGTATGAAGGCTCTCCAAGTGCCCTGAGTGTTAGATCGGAAGAGCAGAAGTCGGAACTCCAGTCCAAGCGCAAGAGCTTGAATCCAATCCCTTGAAAAAAAAAAAAAAAAAAAAAAGACATGGGACAGAGAGCAAAAAGGGCCCAGTTCCACTGAAAACAGAATGAAATGACTCCTCGCTGTCCTCACTCAGTCTCTTCCTAAGAGTGTGACCTTTGGCGAGTCGTTTAGTAACTCTAGAACTAAGCTGTCTCCTGCGCAAAGTGGAAATAGCAATACCTTGTTATTATTAATAATACTTTATTATTTATTTATCTGGCCTTTGCCAGGAGGCAAGACCAGATCCTTTTTGCAGTTCCTTTCACCTCCAGGATATTCTGAACAGTAGACACAAGCATTCAGGGTAGGTCATATCTGTGCCAGCCAAAAACGAAATGGGCTGTTTTGTCCGGAAGAGAAATAGCTGTTGACAAATTGATTTATTAGAGCTCTGTTTGGTCATTTGCTGGGAAAGATAATCATTTGTTAGCCTAAGTAAAAACCTGAACCTTCCAGAGAATACTATCCATTTGTATATGCTCTGGGGAGAGTGTTCTTACATACAAATGAAGGCCAGGCCCTCGCTGGGAAGACAGACTCCGTGAAATTTCACACGTTTATGGTAATGGAAGTGTGCGGGAGTTTATTATCAGGCATTAAATGACATCAAGACCACAAAATTTGCTGTAATGTGACAGCCTTGTCATTGCTCCAGTTCTGTACCTCTCCCCCAATGGAAAAGAAGAATAATTTTGGGAGATCAGAGGCATGGCTCCTAGTGTCATTTTGTTAATAATCAATTATGCACCAAGGGTCTCTAAAGATGATCACACCTTCCTCAGCCTCCTGTGTGTTTTGTTTGTACAGCCCCATGGTGTACGTGAGCTTGTGAATTATACTCGGGTGATATTTGTTCCCATTGTGTGAACCTTCAGAAATTTGATGTTCGCATCCAGATAGTCTAGGGCAGTAGGGGTGAACCTGTGACATGTGTGTTACTACTGTGCTTCCCTTTTCAGACAAAAGCTGTTTGGGTAGAACTGTTGTTTTCTAAGCCAGAACTTCAGTACTCAGGGTTACTGGCAGTGTTGGCACGTTGTGATGATGAATAAATGGGCTTGGGGTTGTAATTTGCCACTTTGCCCATGAAAGGTTCGCCATCCCCTGTTTAGAGTTTGGTGAATAAATCCATGCTTCTGTGTATTCCTTTGCATTATTTTTTGACTTCAGGGCAATTTGGTCTCTTTGATTTTCCTTGCTGCAGAAGAATGAGGTCTAAACCAGTCAGTCAGCCCCACATAACAGCCCTGCCCCTGATACTTCAAAGTAATTTTATAACTAAAGATTGTACAGTATAGCAGAGGAACCAGGGCTCTGAATCTCTAGGTTAGAATTTTGGTTCTACTGACTTACCATATGGTTTGGGGAAATGTCATTAACCTATGAGACCACTTCCTCATGAGTACAGTGTGGTTCATATCTTGCAGGCAGTTACGATGATTCAGGAAGTTGTATGGAGTGTGCCTGGCGCATAATATTGGCTCGGTGAGTGAGGACTTTAATATTGATAAATTAACAATGTCTTCAGTAGACACTGTCAGGATGATCAGGTGGCTTGGTCTGTGTGTGACCCTAGTTAATGAACATGTCAATTTTCTACTTCCCATGAAGATCCCTTGCCTGAACTCACAAAATATTAAGAGCCAGAAAGGATCTTTGACTATATTTTAGGCAAGTGTTTTTCAAGTGTTCGTGTGTTCGTCAGTCACCTAGTTGCTGAAGTAGATTATGATCCAAAAGGTTTGGGTGGTGCTTAAGATTCTACTCTAATAGGTTCCTAATGCTGTGGGTTGAACTCCTAGAGTCAGAAGGCTATAAAGCCCTTGACCGAATCAGGATCCAGAGAGAAAGTGGCTTTTTAAATGACTTGCTTAATTGAATCATAAATGCTTGCTTTCTAATTCCAGCCTCAACCCTAACTTAGCAAGAGCTCAGCTTCTACTGAAGCCCTGCTAATTGCAATTCCAATTTGGGAGCTGAAATTGGAACCTTCTGGGTCCTTGAACGGAAGCTATGGGATGCTTGGAGCGATCCTGCTCTCTCATTTCCCTTCTTCGTGAAGCTTTATTTGTCTACTTTGTCTGCTGGCCCTGGCAGCATTGTAACTTTTGTCTTCACCCTAATCCGCCTAAATATAATCAAGCTCTAGGCTGGCCTTTGCTCTGTCAATAATATTGAATCAACAGATGTACTTGTTTGCCATAATGCTTTTAGCACCTTTTGCGGCATGGTAGGGTGGAAAACACAAACTCTGCAGTGTCACAAATGGATTCAAAGCCGTCACTTACTAGCTATGTAACTGAACAAGTCACATAACTTGCCTAAGCTCCAGAGTTTTCTGTGGGAATGTTAGAAGTAATAATATTTATCCTGCTAGGGAGTGACAAATAATGAAAAAGAGGTACCATTAGCATAATGCCTTCCTATGGAAAGCGTTCAGTCATTTGGCAGACATGTGTTAAATATTTGCTCTGTGCTGAGTACATTACTAGGTACAAGGGATAAATAAATTAAAAAGACAAGCTGGTATTTCATCTCTTAAGGATCTTACTCTCAGGAGAAAAGGACCTAGGTGAACACACGGGTCTGCATACATGAGAGAAGAGGATGGTTGGGGTGGACTCAGGAAGGGAGGAATGAGAGCTCCCTGCAGGGCTGTGAGGCCAC